GCAGAGTATTAGCTTTGAAAATGAATAAAGAGAGCTGTTTGTAGTTTTAAAATGCCTTATTAGTATCAATTAGATATTTTCTCTATTTTTTGATGTACTTAGAGCTTTTTAAGTATAGACTTTAAAATGGCAGGACTTTTACAGTGTTTACATGCAAGTGCATTTTATAAGTGTCCTATATGTGTAAAATAGTATTTCGAACAGGTAAATGCTGGCTAAAGTAGCAGGCTGAGCGTTTTCCTGGTTCCCACGATGATGCCTACATTGCTAGACTACAGTTTAGTATTGCTTTGTATCATGAGGCCAAGAAATTCCATGTTGTTTGTAAATAGAATAAATGAAAGGCAATAAAAATTTATTGAACAAAAACCCTTTGTTTGGCCCATAGTTTGTTAAACCAAATTGTTTCTCTAAGTCCAGAATTCCTTAGATGACTCCATTCTTTTAACAACCAGTTATTAATAATCACATTCATCATTAATAGTTGCTTTAATGCTTGCACCTGGGGAGGTACTAATGCTTAATAGCAGTCAGATACTGATGCTGTGCACTGACTGTTGTTCCAGAAATCTTCTACCCAGTTCCAAAACTGTTCATCGTTTTTTGTTTTCCAATTTCCTTCATCGACTGCTACTAACCATTAGTCGTTAGTCGTATTTTATCTCTATTTCTCCTGTTAACCAGTTTTGTGGGAGCGGGCTTCTCCTTCACGTGTCCAAATCATGATGGAGGGCTGTCATGATTTTATTGCATTCTGTAGATGGTGTCGATCAGTATGTCAGAATTAAACATGCTTGTTTTTTTTATTAGTTGTGATTAGTTTTCATGTTGTCATTAAGCCGTCACTAGCTGGAACTAATCTCTTCTCTATCTTTTCTTTCTTTTTTTTGTTTTGTTTTTTTTTTTGTTTCTAACCACCCAGCCGCCACCGGCAACTAACCTATGACCTTCTGACCTCTGAACTCTTCACCCAATGATGACCTGACCATGCCTGCCTGCTGATCAGTTAACTGGTAAACGCCTTTGCTTGCCTGTCTTCAGTGCAGCGAGCTGGGGCACTTGTCCGTTCGTCTTACCATCTAACAAAACAGACAAAGAAATTGTTGTCCTCCAACTCCGCTTTTTGTTGTTCTCCTGTTTGGGTGAAAGTGGTTCTAGAACCTGCACTGAATAGTAGTAAAGCAATAAGGTCCAACTCATCCCTCCGCACTGATCATCCTCTAGTGTCCCGCCCCAAGCGAACGGTAAGGAGGCCTCGCACGAGATGGAGACAGATGTCCCTTAACTACCCGATGACAGAGGCAGTTACTGTGAGAGACTTCTAGGAATATTTTTCTTCTCAAAAAAAAAAAAAAAAAAAAAAGCTCTCTCTCTGAATGTACTGTGTGATGATGCATCATGCATGAACCTTTGGTCAGGGATGTCATTGGGGAAGGGATTCCAAAAAGTATTCAAAATTTGATACGCTGTTTAGTCACTACCGGTGCCCTCAAAGGGCAGAAGTTGCAGCCTTTTTTCTATTGCCTGCCAAATTGGACGTTTTAAAAGTGTGCCATGAAATGCAGATTATGATGACTTTTCAGAACTACGTTAATGCAGAGAACAAAACAGCAACACTATTAAAGCAAAATCTGAGTTTAAATTATTTTAACCATATTTTAATCTCCTTGGAAGATTACATGAGAACAAGGTACATGCATTATGTGTCACATTACTGGGCAAACTGTTCAAATATTTTTTTTAAACCTCCCTGTATAGAAAAAATTTCATTAAGGATGTAAAAGCCATGCTTGCCTATTTGCTGTATACATGTAATGAAATTGTAGATAAAGTGTAGTGCATTGAAACAAAATGAACAAAAAAGTAGATACTTTTACTATACAAGGGTGCTGGTGCAGAAAAAAATATATTTTTGGAAATGTAGCATTTTATACTTTCAAGTGTTATAAAAAAAGAAAAAAAGAACAAAGAAACCCTTTATTTCATTAAATGATTTTTTCTGGTGGTTGTCAAGAAACAAAAGACCAAAAGAGCCTTTTAGTCTTTCTTTTTTATTTTTTAAGTATTGGAATAAGTCTAAAGAAAAGGAAGTGCCTTATTTTCTTCATGGTCATTTAGTCAAATGTCTTGTATAATCAGCTTCTCCCTCAGACAAGTTACTGCATGCCACTCAGTCGCCCAGTATGTGAAAGAAGCTGTGAGGAAAGACAAATGATGAGTTGACCATATTAATTACCTGATTTTTGCCATACTAGTGTGATGTGACTTTGCCAAAATCTCATTACATAAAATATTTGCTAAGTTTTTGTCAAATCAGCCCATTGCTATTTCAACTACTCTACTTTTTAAGTCATAGCAAATGCCATACTTGTGCAATGTAAACCAAAGGGTTCGGTGATATAGACGGTCTCATGCTAAATGAGACTATTAGCTGACAAATGTTTCTAGAGCTGGAAGTATGTCATTTTTGTTCAGGAATGGAGAGTTTTCTCAATTTTTGGTTGGAATAAATATACATCAAATATAGTAGGCTTTTGCGTCACTCAGAAAACTGATGGTCGATGGATAATGAAATTGAAAGTGCTTAGCTAGTTTTCAGTTGTAGTCTGAGCGTGTCCCCATTTTCACAAGCAGCTCCTGCAGTGACAAACAGCATGCAAGTTATTTATTTTTCGGCTGCTCTTTGACTATTTTTAGATCTGCCCACTGGCTTTTCTTCGTAAGATAAGCAGGAGAGGGACATGGGCTAATTGTCTGAAGTCCAGCTATACTTTATTTTTAACCCTTATTTCCACCTGAGATTCACATAGCTGGGCAGTTGCAAGAGCTGAAGCTGTTGAACGCACAGTATTTAATTCTGAAAACATTAAGTATTACTTTTTGTGAGGCTCAGTACTAAACTTGGCAAATATCAGGTGATAACTGTATTCCCCTCTTGTCAACTTATTCTCCGCCTGCAAATCTTCACAGCTTCCAAATGAAAGGTCAATAGTAAGCTCAGAGGGCTTACATTTTTAAGCACCTGCATGGTGACCTCATCTAACATCGTCTCACCTGGAAATAATTATCAGTTTATTTACTATGCAATAGACATTCATCCTTTTGTATTCAGCTAGCTTTTTGTTTATTGTGCCACCGGCTTTGTCTTCCTGTTACACATACAGTTGTGTTGATTTTACTTACAGTATATGCTGTGCCATTTTGATTTTGTTTTGGTTGGTTGGTTGAATAAACTTGCGACACTCGAACATTTGAAGAGGGATTTGCTAAAACAATACCAGTATTTGATCCAGTTTCATCTCAACTATGATAAAACCTGGACGTTTTAGATGTTTATCAAAGGTCTTTTACTGGGGGGAGGGGCAGTGTATGAAATAGATGTGTGACATGTGAAAGTAATGTTTGCTCTGAACAAACTTCTGAAAACTTAGTTGACAAAATTTTGGATCAACTTAAAAAAAAAAGCATGACTTTTGAAATCTCTGAATGCCTTGGTTCTCAGTATTATCATTCTTTAATGACTTTTTCTTTATTAAAATAAGTAGTTTTAAGACTTCTTTCTGACAGTATTATGTAATTTTTTTAGAGTGGGTAGATGGGAGTGTCGCTTGTATGTAACCGTACAGATGACATGTATTTGTCTATTCTTTATTATCTTAGTAGTTTCATGCTATGTATGTACCATAACCAACCTATTGCCTATGAGAAACATGTAAGATAATGTATTTACAGCCATTGTTACAAGTTTATAATGTATTTTTCTATCTTGTTTTATATGTATGTTATATAACATTCAAAAGAATTTTTTTCCTGATTGAGAAAAAAGGATACAAAATGCAAAACCCACAATTTTGATAACTGAAAAATTGCCAATTGTTTTGCAGTACTTTATTATATTGGGAGTGTTGTCTTTCTTGGGCTTTTAGTTAGCTACTGGATGAATACATTAGACATATTTGGGTTTTAGTTGGGTTTTTACATAGCTTGCATTTTAATTCTTTGGTTCTTTGCTGTTTCTATTAACCCATAGCATTATTTTAATAAATGTTATAATACCAACCTACTAACTCTGGACTATGTCTGTTTATTAACCATTACATGTTTAATTAAAATAAACAAATAAAGACAGAAGAATGTAAAGTCTTGAATTACTGGACTAACCCTGAAGAACGTGACCACAGATAACACAACGTGACTTGTTTTTATGTTGTTTGTCGGCTGACATTCTGCACACTACTGTTAAGTTGGCTTTGGTTATTCTGGCCTTTTACCTTGGGGAATAGGTGCCAGTAGAAATGGGAACAAAGTAGCATTTTTTTTGAGGCATTCTTCTTGTAGAGTCTTGCCACTTGCCTTTCAGCATCTGCATTACTAATTCCACACTTTCTTTTTCTTTCTCTAAAATAATTACTGTCGGCTCACAGCAAAAGAGCAAAGATGCCAGTGTATTGGTAAATCATGGCAGCGTACAGAAACCAGTTTGATTCTTTGTTGAACCATTCAGAGGTTGCAGTTAATCTTACAGTAATTTGTGATTTGTTGCTTTTGGCACCTGATTCACTGTTGCATCATGTGACATTTCTAAGCACAAAATACTTCTAGATAGAACTACCATGTATCAAAATACAAAATGTGGGGGTTTTCCTTGCCAAAAGTGCCTTATTTTCTTCATGCCACACTATTTTTAATTAACTTTTTTTTTTTGGTACTTCTGCTATAGCCTATCAGCATTGCCTAGCTCAGGGGAATACAATTTCTGTAAGCCAAAGGTCAAACTGGATCGTTTCCTAATGACTGCGGAAAATACAAAAATACACCTTTCACTAAATTACCAAGCCATTTCAAATTCCAGGGCTGACTTTGTGATCTTTATCCCTGTGGATGACTGTAGCAACATGAATGCAGGGAATTGAAATGGTGAAAATACTGTTTTGAATGTACGTCTATGCAAATGTTTTTACAGAAATGTTTCTCTTTCTTAAAGCTTCCGCTGTCTGAGGCTCCTTTATATATCCTGGGTCATCCTCCTAGTAATCTTAAGTGGACAGTAATTACAGCTGATGTCGAGGGAGATCCTCGATGTAGAGAATTCTTCAGATATCAACAGTTTTTGTGAAAGCCCATTTTTTTCCTGTAGATAGTAAAAATTCAGATGAGGAGTTTTTCCATCTGTTCAAATGCCTTCTTTAATTTATGATGTTTAAAACTATGTATCTTTAAATCCATGCAATATAAAACTTTAATTTTAAAAAGTTCTCACAGTATTGCAGTAATTAAAATATTTTATGGAGAAAAATAGTCTAGCTCTGATGGAAGTTGTGTTTTAGTTTTCTAATGGCATATAGCTCTTTGTTTAAGAAAATGTATAGGTACAGCTGAAATATTAATGCATTTAGAATAGTTTCACTTGTACAGAAATCTTATTTAATTTAACAGATGATGAATATGTTGCTGTCCTAAAAGTCAGCCACAGGCAGATGATAAACAAATTAGACACAATAGATAACATCAGGACCTTTTGATTGGGTAATGGCACAAGTGCCATTTCAGAGCCAGTAATTTATATTCCTGAAGAATTTTATCAGAGGCACACATTTAAACTTGGTGAAGTACTCTCTCCAGAGTAGTTGAAACTGTTCAGATGGGACAAAAGATTAGTATTTTATATTGAAGGATACTTCTAGTGTCAGAATGACTGCTTTTCTGTAATATTTTTATTATTTTGTATTTCAGTTAGATATGAGCTACTGTCAAACTTTGTCCACAGTGCATTTTCATCTCATTCTTCATTATATGCAGAAAGTTGCTGTAAGTTTCAAGTACTTTAAAGCTGAAGGACAGCAAAAAAAGGGAAAACTCTGAAATCAAAATATTATACGACTTACTGTTGTGCACCAAATGCATTTCTCAGTTTACCTAAGTGCCTGTCTGAAAATTAAACTGTTTTATACTTTGCCTGTTTATAGGAAAGAAACACGCTATTTTTAGAACTGAATTTGAGGTTGACTTCAGTATTGCTACGTCACTGAAGCTAGGATGTCTTATTATTATTCTGGGGTTAAATTGTCCTAACGTTTGAAGGATCATACGTTTTAGAGTTGCTGTTCCATCCAATTGGATTTATGTTAGGGTAAATCTTTGGGGGATTTTTAGTAGGTCACAGTATAAACAAAAACATCATGGAGACTTTCAACGTAAAATCTGAGCAATGCTATTCACTTCTTAAAAGTGAACTGTTGTACCAAAGTGCAACAAATCTGGTTTCTCCAAGAGTATTTTTTTGTGTTAGCAATCCAAATATATTTCCTAAAGAGTCTTGAGGGGCATCTTTCAAATGTTTTTAATGAGCATATGTTCAGTGTATACTGACAATATTGGTATTTTATTTGAACATACCTTTAAAAAATGTGTCCAAAATCCTCATGGAACAAATGGTTTATTCCCAGATTGTACTCTTTGAGGGGGTCCACTAAAAAGTTTTGTGCCCTGAAACTGCAGGGAAACATTGAAGTGTGTTGCCATCTGTTAAGAAATTACTTTAACTTGGGGCTAACATACTTACAGATACACAAAACTTAATTCTTTGTGTCTGAGTAAGAATAGCAGTCATCATAAATAGCACATTCTACAGAATGGGATCTGAGTAAGACATTCCTAGGATTGAGAGTACATATTTGTTATTGGAATTTCTGTTTTGTTTTTAATAGATTTGATATATTTTTCTAAAACACTATTAATTAAATACTGTCCAAATAACACATGAACCATAACATTAACACATGGTAATCAATGCTGAATCAAACTGGTTAACAAAAGAACAGTGCTCTTCCCTCTATGTGCCTGCGCACTAATTGCAGGTGGTACAGCTCTGCATCGGAGGTGGGTGTTAGGCACAGCAGGTTGCAGTGCTAATTTCTTGGTGCCAGCAATTCGGATGTCCATCTTTGACCACAGATGAACTGGGAGGAATCTGACTCCCAAGGCAAAGATTAACTGAGATCTGAAACTCTTGGAAAAACTGAAAAAACAGCAACAACAAAACAACGTATATACATATATGCTTTGACTTGTATTATGGCAGTTTGTGTGAAACATTTATGGTTTTGTTTGTGCAAAATAATGTATTCTGAGGGGAAAAACAAACATGGACATTGCCAAAACACATGTAAATAAAACACCGTTTATGACTGTACATTATGTGCAATAAAGTAACTGGAAAAAGTGCATGTACTTTATCCTCAAAAGCAAACTGACAGCTCTCAAAGCTGTAGCTATAGTTTTATTTTCTGAAAAATTTTATTCTGTATCTAAACGGCAGAATAAAGAATGTACGTTTTTCACACTTCAATTTTCATGAATGCTTTTAGAAGTGTTATGAAAGATGTTAATTGTTGAAGAGGCTTGAGTTTTCGTGGTCATCTGATTACCAGGGTATTCTGCTTAACAGTTTCTTGTTGCATATGCTGTTATCTGTAACTGTAAATGAAGCAAGTAAGCATTACATACCATAAACATCCAGTACGCATTTTGAATATAGATTTTTTGATGCGCCAATTTATGAATTTCTTAAAGATGACCAAGTGTTTTTGATGTTACTGTAGTTCTGTAAGCATCACTGTACAATTGTTTAGAGCGAATAAGGAAGAGGAGAAAAGCTAATGTATGGGTTTGGAGGGGAGATCCTGGTTACTATAGAAAATGAAAATAATAAATCTGCCACCCTACCTAGTATGAATCTAGTGAGAAACACACTTTGGAGAAGAAATGTATTAAAGTGTTTTAACATTTAGATTAATATTATGTGATGATACGTGGTTATGGTTTAAGACAATTTATTTACCGAGACATTCTTTGCTAAAAAGTCCTTCTACTTTACACTGTTTCAATAAAAAATGGTTTGCTTCAGAAGGAAGTGTGCAACAGATAAGGTTAAATGTGGTGTCTTTAGGAGTATGGTAGAATAGGGGAGAGGAGGCTAAATACCAACATTTAGGTGCGCTTCCTCTCCTGCACTTTTCTGTGAAGGAGGGAAAGTTGGGCATAATTAGCATTTAGCGATACCTTCCATGACAAGTCTCAACAAAGTGGTTGCACAGAGTTATATCTGAGCTAGCTTTAATATTGGTAGTTCATAGAATGTGGAGATGCTATATGGCATGTGCAACTTGAGGAGGTAAAGCAGCCCTCGACATCATTGCTGTTACTCTGGGTACCAGTGAAAGCACACCTGCGCACTGCAGTCCTGGCTTGAAGCGTGGGCACAGCCTCACTCCCTGCGCTGCCTTTGGCTGCACTGTGCAAGCCCCCTCCTTCATCCATCTAGATCCCTAGAAAACAGAATTGTGACGATCTTCCTTATCTCTTGCACGGAGTCAGTAACAGCTGTTTGTGATCACATTCATGCTTGGAATTGCATTTACTGGTCTACAAATTAAAGTTAGATGTGGAATTTAGTGACTGGAAAATTTCTATCAACAGACTTTACTACTGTTCTACCAATGCTTTCTGCGTAAGGGTTTTGGTCTGTTTATGGAGGGTGGCCTGATGTTAC